TTTTCCACTTCATCATGAAATGCATTCTCATATTGTTCCACAAATTGTTTTAAAATGGTTTTTGAATTAAAATATCCATCAAAGAATGCATGCATACTTTCACTGCATTGAGTAGTAGACATACCTGCCTAGAAAGTATCTTTTACAAAAGTTGGCACCCAACGTCGTCTTTCATTATACAATCCAAGTAACCAATATTGTCATGAAAGTTGTGTTTATAATTAAACCTATTCCAACGTTCGTCAAACACCTCACGTGTCAATGAATCATACACGACATTCTACAAAGAAAACTTAATATGTTCATATTGGCTATAGCCTCTTAACTTTTCAGGCAATTTCCTCATTATATGCCACAAACACCATTTATGTTGTATACTAGGGAACACAATCTTGATTGTATTTAGCATTGCCTTATCTTAGTCATTGATTATTGCCTTGGAAGCACAATTCAGTATACATGCAAGCCAAGATTGAAAAACCCATACAAATATTTGTGTGTTCTTGTTGGAGACTAACCCACAACCTAAAAATATTGAGTGGCCATGATGATCAACACCAACAAAACAAGCAAATGGCATATCATACTTGTTGGTCAAATACGTCGTGTCGAATGTTACAACGTCACCAAATTCTTTAAATGTGGCCCTACTTCTTGCATCTACCCATAAAACATTTTTTTACTGACCCTGTTCATCTAAATCCATGGTGTAGAAGAAATTTGAATTCTCATTTTGCATTTTCAAAAAATATTTTTGGATTGCGAAAGCATCTCTAGGACCAAGTCGGAGCCTTCTAACTTTTTCAATGTAGTTTCTACAATTTCTGCAGGAAAGGAAAATTCTCAGCATTGCTTGCTTCAACTAACAAGGAATGAAAGTTTTTATTTGGCCTAATCTTAGCCCTTGTAATATCCCACTTGAGGTACGTACTTAAGATTTGCTGTATTAGTTAAAAGTTTACTGTTTCAGTTTCAATTGAATTTGTTTGTTGTCATGTTGAGTTGGTTGAATGGTTGCCTTGAAATTGGTTGAATTTTGGTGAAGTTTGGAAATCCAATCTTCGCCGGGGCGAAGAAGAAGCTTCGCCGCGGCGAGGAGGAGNACCCACAACCTAACAATATTGAGTGGCCATGATGATCAATACCAACAAAACAAGCAAATGGCATATCATACTTGTTGGTCAAATACGTCGTGTTGAATGTTACAACGTCACCAAATTCTTTAAATGTGGCCCTACTTCTTGCATCCACCCATAAAACGTTTTTTAACTGACCCTGTTCATCTAAATCCATGGTGTAAAAGAAATTTGAATTCTCATTTTGCATTTTCAAAAAATATTTTTGGATTGTGAAAGCATCTCCAGGACGAAGTCGGAGCCTTCTAACTTTTTCAATGTAGTTTCTACAATTTCTGTAGGAAAGGAAAATTCTTAGCACTGCTTGCTTAAACTAATGAGGAATGAAAGTTTTTATTTGGCCTAATCTCAGCCCTATCATTCACTTCCAGCTTCCTTTTCACGTATGGTTGTATTACTCGATTGCTCTTGAAAAAACTAGTTTTGGTAAGACTACTGAAATCATGGTTATGATCAAAGACTACTGAACATATTTGATATTTTCCATCAGAACGTACAGATGCACCAATTTGAGCCTTACAATCAGTTTTTTGTCACGGGATGCACTTTAAAGGCAATTCTGGAGTTATTGCTCGACTTCCCACTATGAGAACAAGTCACTGTCACAAATCTTATCTCTCCATCATCTCCTTTCTTTGAAGTTCTTACAATTACTTAAAAACTCATTTTATTCCCATAGTTTTTGTAGTGTTGGAAAAGCTTATCAAATGAATCATAAGCCTTTCTAGGCTTAGGCTCCCATTTCTCTTTTGCACTTCTTGTATCTTTTTTTTTTCTTGTTTATTGTTATCCTAATTTATTGATATAATAATAGCGAGAACTAGAATGCAATGATACTTAAAAAAAGGTAGAAATAATACCATAAAAGAATTAAAATCATATTACTAAATAAAAAGAAATTACAAAGAGATTACCTCAACGACATTGAATTGAGAAGAAGAGTTCTCTTATTTCTTTTTACTACACTCTTCCATCTTTGGTACTATGATGTAAAATTATTACCCTAAATAAAATACAAAAAAATAGTTCCATGTTATATAATATGACTCAATAATTTAAATGAAAATAATATTCTGAATTAAAGAATTGTTGCACCAGAAAAACTATATATAACCCAACAAGTGTAACACATTTTCCCTAATTAGTATCAGACTAAAATTAAAAGTTACCACCACTCAAACAAACAGCTGACTCAGTTGATTCCTTAAAACTAGCACAAATGACCCTCAAAACAACACCTTTGTCAATTTTCTTGCAAGAAGCATCACACCATCATTCATTGTGTGCACACCATCGTAAAATTAAAACTTGATCAGCCATTATCTTGAAGTTTTAAGTTCCATAATAGAGTCTCACATCAAGTCTTAAGGTTTACCCTAAGTCCTGCTTCTACAAGCGAACAGATTGGACAACTCATACGAAATAACAAGTCATGAGCAAAATCACAAAACAATCATATATCAATGGTGCAATTGGCAGTCCTACTCTACTGTCAAAGCTGTTTTTTCAGAAGTAATAAATAATAGAGCCCAAGTTATATAAAAAACCAAGTGATAACATCACATGCAATCCAACTTGTGCTCTCCTTAATATCAAAAATAAAACTAACAATCCAAATATCATATACAAAAATTTCAATCATTGAATTTTAATTGCATACCATTCAAAAGACATACATATAAAATAACCAAATAGAATCCGTTGCTTTAGAACAATAACTTAATCACAATTCTACAGCAAAATTTCTTAATTTTTTTAGATGACAGATCAAACCTGTAAGGCTAGTGGCTACTAATCCAAGGTACTTGGTAATGTGCCAGAGATGGGTGATAGATGTCTGATCCAAAAGCTTGCCCTACTCATTATTTAAAAAGAAAAAAGTCAACGGTAACCCAAATACAAAGAAAAATATCCAAATTCCCGATTTAAATATCGTAAAAACAAACACAAACTGTTAGTGTATGCTTTAGGAACCAATCATGTTGTCGATTTTAAGGCATTATATCTTGTAAATATTCTTTTAAGAATGGAAGAAAGAGTTTTGATTTCACATGTATGTTTATTGCTTCATTTATATTATTTATAATGTGATAATGCTATATTTCATAGTGATTTTGTACTAAATTTCAATAGGATTTAGAATATTTCTCATACAGTTTGGGCCATCATATGTTGCTACTTAATTCTATTAATGTTACTTTGCATGCCTAAATGATGATTTTGAGCATAAATGATGGTGCTGAGCATAAATTGCGTAACTTAAGCTTGGAAACTCAGAATGACCTGAATTTAGAATTATGGAAAACTAAGAAGTAGAGCTACAACTTTCATGTTTTGGATTTTTCTTAATTAAGACTGGAAGAGGATGAAAACTTGGCTTGAAGTCATGAACAAGACCTTGGGAACTAAAGAAAAAGGTCTATGGACGTACTTCTGTATTTTGGCCATAACTTGAGTTGTAGGCTCGAATTGGGCTAATTCTTGAATGAGTAGAAATATAATTGAAAGGACTACAATTAATATGTTTACCACTTTTCCAGATTCAAATTTTATCGTGCTCAAATTTGGTTGGAAAGATCCTCGCCATGACAAAGAAAAATCTTTGCCACTGCAAAACTGCGTCAAATGCAAAAAAAAAAAAAAAAACGACGCGTTTTGGCTTGCTAGGGCTTTATCCTTAAGTGAGAGGAGTATAGATTGACATAAAAAGGAAGGGAAAAGGGGTCTTGGTTTGTCATTTGGGAGGCAGCTCTTGGAAGGAGAAGATTATTGAAGATTTTGGCTTCAAATTAGAGAAAATTTATCTATCTTTTGCTTGTTTTTCAATGATGAACCTTGATTCAACTTGCTTTTTAGTATGAACTGAGTTGTTTAGCTAGGGTTTGATGTAACCTTGATACAATGATTCAAATTTATATGAATTGATTTACTTTGAGTTTCAATTTCATGATTGAGTGTTTATCTCTCTGCTTAATGACTTTTAGATGCTTGATCACCATTCAAATGTATGTTGTTCACAATGAGACTGAGAAGTGATTTGTGATATGTGTCTCTTGGAATAAATATTATAGATTGAGCAGAAACTAGAGATAGATAAACGCGAGCTATGAAATCACTCCTCAAGGAACAGTGTTGTTCTTTATAGTTGTTCCTTATGAATGAACGATTGTTCTTTCATAGAGAACAACCGTTCCTTCTGAAGGAACGACTGTTTATTTCTCGTAATGTCTTGAATGTAATAGGAGCTGACGTAACAATGTCAATCTGTTAACATGCTGTGAGATTAAGTTGTAAACGTAGCATTTTTCTTATAATAATGATTTTTCTCTTCTACAATTTTAAAAAACCAACCAAAACCATTTAACACATGACAATTATAACACCAAGAGATTGACCTGACAGTTAAAGAGATTTGCTCCCTTCATTGAATTCTTGGGTTCAAACCTTAAGGTCATCTATCATTTTGTGACTTACCTAGTCCTTTACCTATCACTTTATGATTTACTTATTGGTTATTTGAGCTTGTTTGATGTTTAATAGATCTTGAGAATTAGTTAAAATATACACAAGCTAGCTTGAACACCACGATTAAAGAAAGGAAAAAAAAAAAAAAACATGACAATTATCTTAGTTTTAAGGTAAGTTAAATGAGATAATTATTGTCTACTTCATTTTGGATAATGTATAGCATCACGATGAATTAAGCACATGATTATAATAATTTACTAATCATTCATATGGGTAAATTTGCTTTTTTGACTCATTTCTCTCAAATTTGACTAAGATATAAAGAAATTTCGTCACAATAATATGAATTCAGAAACATTAATATAAAACGAATATTTAACCATCGTTTACTGTCCATTGAAATTAAAGTGAAATGGAAAACAAAACCAGAAACGAAGAACTGGTTATTAATTGTCTCTCTAAAAGTTCCATCCCTGTTTTCACTCTTTCACCCATAAATTATTCAAGTAAAAACACCACTATTAGGTAAAGGAGAAGAATAGGACGTGGACATAATCAGATTATTATTATTTTGAAAAGTTTTTGGTAGGAATGGGTGGGAGGGGAAGGTTCAAAGAAACTACACAAACCATCCCTACACGTTTCTTTGTTTTCTCCGACAATTTTTTTCAATTTAATTTTCTTATTATTTTTTAAATGCTAATTAATCTCATTTGAAATTTTCAAGATTGTCTTACTGATACTCTGTATTGAAGAAAGCAGCGGCAAAGGACTTTGGTCCGTTGATTCTGATCTGGGTTTTCCTTTTTTAGGCCATTTTGTACCGCTTTTCAAGCTTTTCAATGAGGTAAAATACTTCAAATTGGAGTTTTTTTTTTTTAGTTTGTTAATGTGTTCTGTTCCATGACTGAATGAGTTGTATAGATTTTGAAAATACGAATATTCGTTGTTTTTCAGGGATTTGATTAATGGTCAACTTTGAAATCTTGGTGGTTTGAATGGATTAATATGTTTGGTGAATAATTCTGATCTGGGTTGTTGTTTTCGGATCTATAGAGTTGGTTGTAACTTGTATTGAGGCAGTTAGTTTCATTTGACAACACTATCTGTTGTTGAATCAGGTTGAAGAAGGTTTCTCATATTGAATTTGCATTTATTTTTTCCGCGAATTGAATTGGTTAGTAAGCAAATTTGATTATAGGAGTTTTAGGATTGGATTAATTTGATTCATATTCATTATTACTTATTTGATTTATCAAATAAAGCTAAGTTGAATAAAGTCATGGAGCAAGTAGGGCCATTTGGTGATGGGGAGGGAGAAGAAAATGATAGAATAAACTCTGGGGCAACTCGTCATATGGAATCCCGGATGTACCAACATAGGCAGTTTCCAGGTATGGTGAGACAAAAAGCGTATATATTTGATGGAGTAGGGAACTATTATATTAAGGAATGGGACCTTACAGAAGGAATAGGCAATGAATTTTGTTGGTACCATGTTGAGCTTCCAAAAGGAAACCAAAAACTTGCTCAATCTGCACAATACCTTATAGATGTTCTTTGTCCACCATTGAAGCTTCAAGACATTCTTTCACTTGTCAGCAATGGACCATTTTGTGGTCATGTTGACGGGGCACTTGTGTTTAGAGTTAATTCACATGGTCCTGCCTCTAGCAAATTCACATTTAGAATTGCTGCTAGAGTTACACAGAATTCAGTGATTACTGTGTCTTTGGGTCGTGTTCCTAGGCTGGGTTTCTCACCTATGGGTCATTCTCTTCTTTCGGAGATTCCAAGTGTGGAGAGCACCTCAAATAATAAAGATGAGCCAAAGGAAGGAAGTGGGATTGTAATAAGGGAGCATGTCCTTGAATTCTTGTTGACAATGAATCATTCTGAAGAAGCTGATAATCCAGTTCCAAGATCTGTCTCGAATCTTGTTGTTCACATTGTTGACACGCACATAGATCACCTTCAAGATGTTGTGACTAAAACAGAGATTGAGCTGGATTCTGTGGAGCTTGAATTGGATAAAGGTCAGTCAGGTTAAAACAATCTATGGCTTACCCTACATACTATAAATCATTGCATATCTTGTGATCAGATTATTTTCTACAGAAACTTACTGCTTTTTTTGGTCATTAAGATTTTAAGAAAAAACTCTTAGGTTTCATGCTCCTCTTAGTGTAATGTTTGCTCGGCATATCTAGCCATATTGAGGTGGTTATTGATAAGAAGTAATAAATAATAGAGCCCAAGTTATATAAAAAACCAAGTGATAACATCACATTTAATCCAACTTGTGCTCTCCTTAATATCAAAAATAAAACTAACAATCCAAATATCATATACAAAAATTTCAATCATTGAATTTTAATTGCATACCATTCAAGAGACATACATATAAAATAACCAAATAGAATCCGTTGCTTTAGAACAATAACTTAATCACAATTCTACAGCAAAATTTCTTATTTTTTTTAGATGACAGATCAAACCTGTAAGGCTAGTGGCTACTAATCCAAGGTACTTGGTAATGTGCCAGATATGGGTGAAAGATGTCTGATCCAAAAGCTTGCCCTGCTCATTATTTAAAAAGAAAAAAGTCAACGGTAACCCAAATATGAAGAAAAATATCCAAATTCCCGATTTAAATAGAGTAAAAACAAATACAAACGGTTAGTGTATGCTTTAGGAACCAATCGTATTGTCGATTTTAAGGAATTATATCTTGTAAATATTATTTTAAGAATGGAAGAAAGAGTTCTGATTTCACATGTATGTTTACTGCTTCATTTATATTATTTATAATGTGATAATCCTATATTTCATAGTGATTTTGTACTAAATTTCAATAGGATTTAGAATATTTCTCATATAGTTTGGGCCATCATATATTGCTACTTAATTCTATTAATGTTACTTTGCATGCCTAAATGATGATTTTGAGCATAAATGATGGTGTTGAGCATAAATTGCGTAACTTAAGCTTGGAAACTCAGAATGACCTGAATTTAGAACTATGGAAAACTAAGAAGTAGAGCTACAACTTTCATATTCTGGATTTTTCTTAATTAAGAGTAGAAGAGGATGAAAACTTGGCTTGAAGTCATGAACAACACCTTGGAAATTGAAGAAAAAGGTCTATGGACGTACTTCCGTATTTTGGCCATAACTTGAGTTGTAGGCTCGAATTGGGCTGATTCTTGAATGAGTAGAAATATAATTGAAAGGACTCCTATGTTTACCACTTTTCCAGATTCAAATTTTATTGTGCTCAAATTTGGCTGGAAAGATCCTCGCCATGACAAAGAAAAATCTTTGCCGCGGCAAAACTGCGTCAAATGCAAAAAAAATAAAACGACGCGTTTTGGCTTGCTAGGGCTTCATACTTAAGTGAGAGGAGTATAGATTGACATAAAAAGGAAGGGAAAAGGGGTCTTGGTTCGTCATTTGGGAGGCAGCTCTTGGAATGAGAAGATTATTAAAGATTTTGGCTTCAAATTAGAGAAAAATTATCTATCTTTTGCTTGTTTTTCAATGATGAACCTTGATTCAACTTGTTTTTATTTTTTTTATTTTGCTTTTTAGTATGAACTGAGTTGTTTAGCTAGGGTTTGATGCAACCTTGATACAATGATTCAAATTTATATGAATTGATTTACTTTGAGTTTCAATTCATGATTGAGTGTTTATCTCTCTGCTTAATGACTTTTAGATGCTTGATCACCATTCAAATGTACGTTGTTCACAATGAGACTGAGAAGTGATTTGTGATATGTGTCTTTTGGGATAAATATCATAAATTGAGCGGAAACTAGAGATAGATAAACGCGAGCTATGAAATCACTCCTCCAGGAACAGTGTTGTTCTTTATAGTCGTTCCTTATGAAGAAACGATTGTTCTTTCATAGAGAACAACCGTTCCTTCTGAAGGAACGACTGTTTATTTCTCGTAATGTCTTGAGTGTAGTAGGAGCTGACGTAACAGTGTCAATCTATTAACATGTTGTGAGATTAAGTTGTAAACGTAGCATTTTTCTTATAATAATGATTTTTCTTATAATAATGATTTTTCTCTTATATAATTTTAAAAAACCAACCAAAACCATTTAACACATGACAATTATAACACCAAGAGATGGGCCTGACATTTAAAGAGATTTGCTCCCTTCATTGAATTCTTGGGTTCAAACTTAGGGTCATCTATCATTTTGTGACTTACCTAGTCATTTACCTACCACTTTGTGACTTACTTATTGGTTATTTGAGCTTGTTTGGTGTTTAATAGATCTCGAGAATTAATTGAAATATATACAAGCTAGTTTGAACACCACGGTTAAAAAAAAAAAAAAAAAAAGAACATGACAATTATCTTAGTTTTAAGGTAAGTTAAATGAGATAATTATTGTCTACTTCATTTTGGATAATGTGTGGCATCACGATGAATTAAGCACATGATTATAATAATTTACTAATCATACATATGGGTAAATTTGCTTTTTTGACTCATTTCTCTCAAATTTGACTAAGATATAAAGAAATTTCGTCACAATAATATGAATTCAGAAACATTAATATAAAACGAATATTGATATTTCCCTTTTTTAACCATCGTTTACTGTCCATTGAAATTAAAGTGAAATGGAAAACAAAACCAGAAACGAAGAACTGGTTATTAATTGTCTCTCTAAAAGTTCCATCCCTGTTTTCACTCTTTCACCCATAAATTATTCAAGTAAAAACACCACTATTAGGTAAAGGAGAAGAATAGGACGTGGACATAATCAGATTATTATTATTTTGAAAAGTTTTTGGTAGGAATGGGTGGGAGGGGAAGGTTCAAAGAAACTACACAAACCATCCCTACACGTTTCTTTGTTTTCTCCGACAATTTTTTTCAATTTAATTTTCTTATTATTTTTTAAATGCTAATTAATGTCATTTGAAATTTTCAAGATTGTCTTACTGATACTCTGTATTGAAGAAAGCAGCGGCAAAGGACTTTGGTCCGTTGATTCTGATCTGGGTTTTCCTTTTTTAGGCCATTTTGTACCGCTTTTCAAGCTTTTCAATGAGGTAAAATACTTCAAATTGGAGTTTTTTTTTTTTTAGTTTGTTAATGTGTTCTGTTCCATGACTGAATGAGTTGTATAGATTTTGAAAATACGAATATTCGTTGTTTTTCAGGGATTTGATTAATGGTCAACTTTGAAATCTTGGTGGTTTGAATGGATTAATATGTTTGGTGAATAATTCTGATCTGGGTTGTTGTTTTCGGATCTATAGAGTTGGTTGTAACTTGTGTTGAGGCAGTTAGTTTCATTTGACAACACTATCTGTTGTTGAATCAGGTTGAAGAAGGTTTCTTATATTGAATTTGCATATTTTTTCCGCGAATTGAATTGGTTAGTAAGCAAATTTGATTATAGGAGTTTTAGGATTGGATTAATTTGATTCATATTCATTATTACTTATTTGATTTATCAAATAAAGCTAAGTTGAATAAAGTCATGGAGCAAGTAGGGCCATTTGGTGATGGGGAGGGAGAAGAAAATGATAGAATAAACTCTGGGGCAACTCGTCATATGGAATCCCGGATGTACCAACATAGGCAGTTTCCAGGTATGGTGAGACAAAAAGCGTATATATTTGATGGAGTAGGGAACTATTATATTAAGGAATGGGACCTTACAGAAGGCATAGGCAATGAATTTTGTTGGTACCATGTTGAGCTTCCAAAAGGAAACCAAAAACTTGCTCAATCTGCACAATACCTTATAGATGTTCTTTGTCCACCATTGAAGCTTCAAGACATTCTTTCACTTGTCAGCAATGGACCATTTTGTGGTCATGTTGACGGGGCACTTGTGTTTAGAGTTAATTCACATGGTCCTGCCTCTAGCAAATTCACATTTAGAATTGCTGCTAGAGTTACACAGAATTCAGTGATTACTGTGTCTTTGGGTCGTGTTCCTAGGCTGGGTTTCTCACCTATGGGTCATTCTCTTCTTTCGGAGATTCCAAGTGTGGAGAGCACCTCAAATAATAAAGATGAGCCAAAGGAAGGAAGTGGGATTGTAATAAGGGAGCATGTCCTTGAATTCTTGTTGACAATGAATCATTCTGAAGAAGCTGATAATCCAGTTCCAAGATCTGTCTCGAATCTTGTTGTTCACATTGTTGACACGCACATAGATCACCTTCAAGATGTTGTGACTAAAACAGAGATTGAGCTGGATTCTGTGGAGCTTGAATTGGATAAAGGTCAGTCAGGTTAAAACAATCTATGGCTTACCCTACATACTATAAATCATTGCATATCTTGTGATCAGATTATTTTCTACAGAAACTTACTGCTTTTTTTGGTCATTAAGATTTTAAGAAAAAACTCTTAGGTTTCATGCTCCTCTTAGTGTAATGTTTGCTCGGCATATCTAGCCATATTGAGGTGGTTATTGATTCGGCTGACCTTAACTGATCTTCGAAATTTCGTAGCATCTAGCATGTATGCATATGATTAGACATATTGCGTTAGACATATTTTTTGTTGTTTTTACGAGGGGTGGAAAAAATCGGTTAACCGAAAACATGAACCGAACCGGTTTTTGGTTCAAAAAAATAATTGAACCGAAACCGGTCCGGTTTCGGTTAAAAACCGGTTGTGAACCGAATTTTTTCGGTTCGATTAATCGGTTAATCGGTTTTAAACCGGTTAAATATTGGGCTGCATTTTTTAGCCCAATTATGAATTATGGGTTGCTTTTTTCGACCCAATTCGGTCACACTCCACTTTGGCCCATTTTTTTTTCTAATTTTTTTTTTACTTGAATTAAAATTATGCTTTACCAAACGATGAAGAAGAAGAAGGCTAAAGTCCAATCATGGTATTCTCTTCTCGCTTCTTATCCAAATCTAAATAGAAAAGCAGTGAAAGAGAAGAAATGGAGAAGACGAAAAAGAAAAAAAAAACAGAAAAGTGAAAGGAGAAGAAGATGAAAAAGAAAAGAAAAAGTGGAGAAGGAGACGAAGAGAAGAAGACAAAAAAGAAAGAGAAATTGGTGAAGGAGAGAAAGAGAAGAAGACGAAAATGTGAAGAAAAACTGAAAAAAGAAAAGGAAAGCAGTGAAAGGAGAAAGAAGACGAACAAAGAGAAAATAGTGAAAGATAAAAAAGTTGGTGAAGGAGAGGAAGAGAAGAAGACGAAAATGTGAAGAAAAGCTGAAAAAAGAAAGAGAAAGCAATGAAAGGAGAAAGAAGAAGAAGAAAAAGAAAATAGTGAAAGGAAAAAAAGTCTTTGCGTGGAGAACCAAACCCAAGAAAATGTGTAGAGAAGCAGAGTAGCAGACTGCAGGTCTGCGTAAACAATACCAAGAAAAAGGGGGGGAGGGGGGGAATAAGGGATTTTTTTATTTTTTTATTTTTTTTCAAAACCGGTTTCGGTTAACCGGTTTAATATTATCCTTAAACCGTTAACCGAACCGGAAATTCGGTTTAATTATTTTTGAAAACCGAAACTGAACCGGTTAATTTGAAAAACCGATTTTTCGGTTCAGTTTTGGTCCGGTTTTTCGGTTCGGTTTGGTTTTCGCTTTTTTTTTCCAACTCTAGTTTTTACATGATAGGGTTGTAGTATCTTTGATGCATTTTGGGCCTACTTGTTTACGAGTGTCAATGCAAATTAGTGGTCTGTAAGAAATCTGGCTTTGGGCCTAAGCAATTCGAAAACTCTTAATTACTGAAAAAGCAGAAAAAAGTGGTCATTTCCATATAAATTGTATTCTGACTTATTTTATATCTGCATGCTTGAAAACAAGCCATAATGATGCATCCTAGAGGTTATTCCTTGTCAGGAACATTATCCTTCTCATTGTACATCATAATTATATTACAAACAAAGGGTACCGTTTCACTTTGTTCATCATATTGTTCCTTGACAATCACCCATTTAATCAACTTGAGACAAGGCAATGCTAACTTTTTTACATCTTTGTGTTTCCTGGCCACTATTTTGTCGTGGATAGATAAAACTCAGTCCTTACATTTAGTTGTGTGATGTAAGCCACCTTCTACAATTTTTCTTCCTTTCTCCGTTATTCCTGGATCATGTGATAGGTGTGGAAAGATTAAATTTCAGTCCTTACATTTAGTTGTTGTAGGTGTGGAAAGACAAGAGCTTATCGACGATACTTTGTTGTTAATGTTGATCTTTGATGAGGTTAAGATAAAGATTGAAAGTGATCATAGTGAACTGAATGAAACAAGTTGATCTAATGCAGCATAGAGCGAATCAATAATCATTAAAATTGATAAGAGAATAATTCAATGATTGGAATGGATTATCATGAGGCATATATGCCCAATTCATTGTTATTCTCAACTTAGTATTACTGTGGTATATTATTTACTAAGGGAAAGTTGAAATTAAAAAATGGTAAAGGCATATCATATTACGATGTCTATTCAGCTGATCATTAATTGGACTTCACAAACCCTTTAATTCGCACAGGTTTAGCACTTAGTAATGAACTTCAGAACTCCTTTAATACATACAGGTTTAGCACTTCAGTCAACTGTTAATATCCTTGAGTTTCTTTCCATCTTTTTATGCATAATTAGTTTCTCTTCCGAGTTCATAATGTTCTGTTTGAATTGGTATTGTTTACTCATGAGATGAACTTACATGATAATTGTGTTTTATCACAGGTGGTTTTGCTTTAAAGAAACAAATGCTGGATGACAGAAGACTCCCCAAAATGCTTCTTGATTTGCAGCGCCTCCTGCAGGTAATTTTTTGCCCCACTATTTATTTCAATGGCCATGCACGGAAGCAAGAGTTATCAACTTTCATTTATTTGGGTATTCATAATTTGTCTTTGACCTCAAGGGTGGTTCGAAAACTCAAGTACCTGACAAGAATCGATAGAAAGGCGAAGCCCACAGTGCTTTTATAAAAGAATCCAACTAACTTAATGAGTTGAAAATACTTCAGTTTTTCTGCTGGGCATCAGGTTTAGGGGTCCCTTAAAAGTCCATGATAACATTTAAACAACCTATTTTGTCTATTGATATAATTTGTTATCAATTCTGGAATTAGGGTTTTATATTTCCAGTATCAATTCCATATCAATTTAACAGCTATTACATTTATTTTCCTTGGACTGCAGGTGATTGCACACGGGGAGCAAGTATTTCCACGGGTCAAAGAAAAGTGTGCTTCAAAAGATTGGTTTGCCCCTGAAGATGTTAATGCTCTAGAAGAGTTAGTTGGCCGGCTTAGGAGATTAAAAGATAATGTGGGGTTTATAGTAAATCGTGTCACAGCAATTCAGGCTGGTCTGGATAGTTGGCAGTCTGAACAAATAAACAAGAAGCTGTACTATCTATCATTTCTTTCAATAATATTCCTTCCTTTATCCATCATCACCGGAGGTAAACTCTCTCTTCAGTCTAAAGTTTTGCTACTGTAAAATTTTAGAGGCATCACTACTGTTGCAATTAATAACTATCATGCATTTGTATCAGTGTTTGGGATGAATGTGGGAGGAGTTCCATGGACGGGGCAGAGAGACCCAGAGCTAAAAGATGGTTTCCGCAATGTCATGTTTCTGTGTCTGGCAATGCTATTTTTCGTTCTACTATGCTTCATTTGCCCTCATCTTTACACCCGATTCCTTGCTTGGCAGAGGAGAAGGGCTATGAGAAGAAGTTGGTCTCTCAACAGGAAATCATTCCTTCGGAGAACGGTCGGATTTCAAGAAAGAGGAGGATACCTTAGAATCTAAAAATAGAAAAGAAATGTATAATATCATCGTGGAAAACGTCGTTTTAAACTTTCATTATTTTCTAATTACAGGACGTGCATTTGTGCTTCTTGTTCACGTAAAATTCTCTCTTTGTACAGGAAATTGACCATCTCCCTTCTCGAACAAATTCGGTTTTTCCTGGTTCTTGACTGGCTGATAGAGAGAAGGTAGAGGAGGTTAGCCAAATATTTTCTGGAGTTTGTTTCTTTAACAAACTGGATTGTAGATTTTTGAAATTCTTTGAATTTCTGATAAAATTTTAACAGATTGTACAGATAATGAACTTGTGCATGTAAACAAATGTATTTAGAGAGTTTGTACGTATTTGATTCATTTCAGTGGCTACAGTTGAATGATTAACTTTCATTTTGTCATTTTTATGAATAAATAAGATCATTAGCTTTTTTCATTTTAGTGGCAACACTTAAAAGAAAAAAAAAAAAAAGTCAAAAACACTTGTAGTAATACTCATTATCACTATATTTATTATTTTTAAGAAGTTGAAATTCTACATGACATTTACATAATAGGTCAGACTATTGTGATATAAACTTTTGACATATTATTTGTTCATAATCCAATTGTTGACACAAAAAGAAAAAAGAAAGAAAACTACCTCTCTAACTCTAACATCCATTTTAAGTTCATCGAATTCGACTTGATATAATATACTAACCTATATGTATCACTAATTTTATAAGCAAAAGGATACTGATAATACTCTCATTAAAAAATATATAAAATCAAGTATTGTAATTAATATTATCTATTTTAAATAGTACTCCTAAATTATCATTTTAAAGGAACCGGGGTATTATTAAATTATATTATTTAAAATGAAAAGTTTGGTATTTTTATTTGGCTTCAACTTTTTATTTTGTTTACAAACATAAATAATTGAATCACAAATTCAAAGGGCCGCTCCCATTTGTGGGAGATTTCTAGAGCAATAGACTAAACCCTCTTTCCCAAGAAAAGACAACGTGGCGGCACATCAAACAAGCGATATCACTCACCCCTACGACGCCGTTTCATTAAAACTAATTACAAAACCGCATCAGTTTTTTGCACTTTTAGGTCGAGCTGTTATTAGTACTTTAGATACAAATCTAGAACCTTCCATCTGTCGCTAGAATTAGCACCCAAACTCCGTTCTCAGCCTCTCATAACAACACAAAACGGGATCATTTCATTTACACCCCTATATCTTCTTTCCATTAAAATAATTCAAAATTGTTACGAATTACCAAATTTTCAAATTTATCAAGATTTTTTTTTTTTAACTTCATTTTAATTATTATGTGAATTCATTTAAGTAAATTCATCATTTGATTTGCGTTTCTCTCACTATGATAAATAAATTATTTTAATCATGATATCTTGACATAATATAAGAAAAGAAAAACAACATTTGGTAATTATAGTTCTAAATAAAATTTGGTAATTTTAGTCATATAATATCATAATAGTTATGAGAAGATATATATAAAAAAACCAAAATTTATTGACAACATTATTCAATAATATTCTATTTTTCTTCAAAACTTTTTTTTTTTTTTATATTTTATATGTTATAGTTAACTTATCTAAAATATTTTTAATTATAATGAAATATTACAGCTAGAATAAACATTCACAATTGAATTACAGAAACAAGGATAGACCAATAGAACAAGAATTCACATTTTATTATTTTATAGGTTAACATGAGAGGGTGTTTTTGATATATGGAAAAAGTTTGGAGGATATTAAGAATTATTACAATTCATAGGACTACAATGAATTAAGTCAAAACTTCAAACATTTCTATAAATTTACCCAACACAGAACTTCTAAAACCCTAGTCCAAAACCCTTTCATTCTCCCCGTCTCTCTCTCTCCTTACAGAGAAAACCTCCTTAGCTCATGGCCGCCGCAGCTTTGCTCCGTTCAATCCGACGCCGGGACGTCGTCTCCGCTCCTCTCTCCGCCTACAGATGCGTAAGTATTTAAACCCTCATCAACTGAACATTTTTCATTTGGGTTTTATCTTATGATTCTCATTTGATCTATGTAACTCGTTCAACTATTTGCTTCATGAAGCTCTGTTTTCTTTACGAATTATATAAGACTTCAATTTTTTGGCCTCTGATTGTTTGTTACAGTTGGGGTTTACCGTGTTAATCAGCTTAATTTCTGTGATGTTTTGTGGATTTTTATATCTATAGAGCCAGTTTTTTAGTGACCTGTAGAGTTTTAGCGTTTGAGTTTCTTCTTCAAATTTTACCGATATTGAGGAAGCACGATCCATATGTATTTCGGCGATGTTTTGTTTTGTGATTCTTGCACTGAGGTTTAGGATCTCAAAAATTAATTAAGCTTCACGTATGTTATTGTGTTCTTGAATCTGAGTGATTTTTATTGTTTTTGCAGTTGACTAACAATGTCAAGCCCTCATGGACCCCTTCTAGTCTGGGCAATAGTTGGGCTAGTTTGGCAAGACCTTTCAGGTAATATGGTGTCGCATATCTTGTGATGAATTTTCTCTTCTTTTGTTTCCATAATTTGTTGTTTGTAACTTTCTGCGTGCTGTTTTTGTCACAGTTCGAAGCCTGCTGGTAATGATGTTATTGGGATTGATTTGGGAACGACCAATTCATGCGTTGCAGTCATGGACGGGAAGGTATGAGTCCTTGATGTGTCTTGAATAATCTTTTTCCGTGAGTTTTGTTTAAGAGGCTTAGATTATTTCTTACAATGCACAGAATCCCAAAGTTATTGAGAATTCTGAAGGAGCACGGACCACACCGTCAGTGGTAGCTTTCAATCAAAAGGGAGAGCTACTTGTGGGTACCCCGGCAAAACGACAGGCTGTGACCAACCCGACTAATACCGTGTTTGGGACAAAACGTCTCATTGGTAGACGATTTGATGATCCCCAGACACAGAAGGAAATGAAAATGGTTCCATTTAAGATAGTCAAGGCTCCAAATGGAGATGCATGGGTTGAAGCCAATGGACAGCAGTATTCTCCAAGTCAGATTGGAGCCTTTATTCTGACCAAGATGAAGGAAACTGCAGAATCATATCTTGGAAAGTCGGTTTCGAAGGCCGTAATCACTGTTCCAGCTTATTTCAATGATGCTCAAAGGCAAGCAACAAAGGATGCTGGTAGAATTGCTGGCCTTGATGTTCAAAGAATTATTAACGAGCCAACAGCTGCTGCACTTTCGTATGGCATGAACAACAAGGAGGGCCTAATTGCTGTTTTTGATCTTGGTGGTGGAACATTTGATGTCTCAATTCTTGAGATTTCTAATGGTGTTTTTGAGGTATAAATAATGTTCAAGTAATATGGAAATTGATTTTGTTAATTCTTTTTTAATTCAAGCTGTGCTAATCACTATCTTATCCAGGTAAAAGCAACGAATGGGGACACATTCTTGGGTGGAGAGGACTTTGACAATGCCTTGTTGGAGTTCTTAGTGAGTGAATTCAAGAGAACTGAGAGCATTGATCTTTCAAAGGACAGACTTGCATTGCAGAGGCTTCGCGAGGCAGCTGAGAAGGCAAAGATAGAACTTTCATCAACATCCCAGACTGAAATTAATCTACCATTTATTACTGCCGACGCATCCGGTGCAAAGCATTTGAATATAACTTTGACCAGATCTAAGTTTGAAACCTTGGTCAATCACTTGATTGAGAGGACTAAGGCCCCTTGCAAGAACTGTTTAAAGGATGCCAACATCACTGTCAAGGATGTTGATGAGGTTCTTCTTGTTGGAGGCATGACTAGGGTACCTAAGGTCCAAGAAGTAGTTTCTGCTATATTTGGAAAAAGCCCAAGCAAGGGAGTGAATCCTGATGAGGCAGTTGCCCTTGGGGCAGCTATCCAAGGTGGTATTCTTCGTGGGGATGTTAAAGAGTTGCTTCTCCTAGATGTTACACCTCTGTCACTTGGTATTGAGACACTTGGTGGTATCTTCACGAGACTCATCAACCGTAACACAACAATTCCAACAAAGAAGAGTCAGGTAATTGATTGTTTAGAGCAATGCAACATAGCATTTGAATCTTTTCTGAGATTTATAGTTTGCAAATCATGTTCAAGGATGGATTATTCAAGTATGCTGTTGTAAGAAATTACTAGTTGTCATCTACTTAAGTTTTACTTGAGTTATCTGTTTGCTGTGTTGTGTTTAACCAATGTAACCAGTAAGTTTACAGGACTAAGGTTTGTTTTTTTAGCCTAGAATCTGACTATTATGTCCAAGTCGCAGCTCTATGCTTTAGTTGTTTGTTCTCTGTTCTTCTCTCGTGTTGTATTATTCTTTTTTATGGGTGTTGCTTTTGTCTGCAGGTGTTCTCAACTGCAGCTGACAATCAGACTCAGGTTGGCATTAAGGTACTTCAAGGTGAGCGTGAAATGGCATCTGACAATAAGCTCCTTGGAGAGTTTGAACTTGTGGGCATTCCACCTGCTCCCCGAGGAATGCCTCAAATTGAAGTGACTTTTGATATTGATGCCAATGGTATTGTCACTGTATCTGCAAAAGACAAAGCCACTAACAAGGAACAGCAGATCACTATCCGCTCATCTGGTGGACTATCTGATGATGAAATCGAGAAGATGGTTAAGGAAGCTGAATTACATGCTCAGAAGGATCAGGAAAGAAAAGCTTTGATCGATATCAGAAACAATGCCGACACCACTATCTACAGCATCGAGAAGAGCTTGAGTGAATACAGGGAAAAGATCCCTGCTGAAGTTGCAAAGGAGATCGAGGATGCCGTGGCTGATCTAAGAACTGCAATGGGAGGTGATGACATTGATGAAATCAAGGCTAAGCTTGACGCTGCAAACAAAGCAGTTTCGAAGATTGGACAACACATGGCTGGTGGTTCTGGTGGCGGTGCTGCATCTGGAGGTTCTCAGGGTGGGGATCAGACTCCAGAAGCCGAATACGAGGAGGTGAAAAAGTAAAAGTGAATGAAGAGGCGATAACTTCATTTTGATCTGTTTTAGGATATGTGATTTGAGTCTTGATTCTGTATCTAAAATATGGATTGTTCTAGGGAAGTACTTGAGTTTTATTTTGAGAGCTAGATAAGCAAATTGAAGCATAAATTTTTCTAAAAAGAGTTCAATTGTTGACTTTATATGAGCTGAGTTGCTGCATAATTCTTCTACATAGTAATATGCTTTTCTTGATCTGTTATGGTTGCTCAAGTATGGATGGGATTTGGCCATCTTTCATCTTCAATGCTCGATGGCTAGAGTGCTTCATGATTCCGTTGCAACTCAAATTTTGTTGTATTCTTTGTGGTTTCTTGCAGGGCTAATCACGGATTATATTATTATTATGTTATGTATTCAATTTTAGTGCTTCTGTTTGGATGGCATCCTAAATTAGTAAATTTAGAGGGCAGACTAGAGACTACTCAACAAGATGATAATCAAAAGGAAAATTATACATATATACCCTTGTTTGGATTTCAACTAATCTGAATGTCTACTGAACATTTTATGGAGCAAACTGCGCCATATATGAAACCTTATTGTTAATGGTGTTTTCCAGGGAGACAACAGTTTTGATTGCATTATTTGATCGATACCCCTGTATCAGTTGGTATCGATACAGATATTGACTTGAAAAGTGAACATTAATTGGTAACTGATATCGGGAGTATATATCAATATTCGTAGTCAATAAATAGGTTGGTGTTGCTCAGTGTGTTTTCAAAATGGTATATTGATGGGTACCGGATACATAATGCTCTGCTTACATGACTAATACCGTTTGATAGATTCTTATCGGTCATTAGCTATTTTTAAAACACACTAACTCGTACCAAGCCTATTGAGCGGGAATCGGATAGTGCAATGATAAGTGGGCCAAAATTATCTGATAATATACTATCGGATAGTACAACCAATATGTACTTTGGTAAAACAATTGATATCCGTTATGTCATTTTTCCGAAAAAACATGTAGACCGACACTATTCGATAATATAATATGATCGGATGGTATCAATCAGTTTGTGATTTTGTAAATTTTGGGATGCGCTGACTAATTTAATACTTTTTCCATGTACAAATGGTTACTTGACACACAACTTGGTGACTGTCGTTGATGCACACCATTATCGGGCTTTCGTTATAAACTTGTTGAGATTGGAATTTTCCGACAAAGTTAACCTCGACCCAGTTAAACCTATTTAGGTGCATGTGTTTTGGTAGACGTTAGACTGATTAATTTTTTTGGAAATTGTGCAATTAAGGGAGGTGAAACTTGTTGAGATTGGAATTTTCCGATAATATAAGATGTTGTTTAGCGTGGGTGAGAGATTAAATTCTCCCCTCATGAATTTGCCTTTTTGACGGGATTGAGATTTAGAGAACTACCTCATTTGCCGAAGGGTTTAACGCATAGGATTAGAAACACTTGTCTTAAAAAAATAACAAACTCAATCAAAATCAAGGAGTTTGAGGAATTTTTCCAAATAAGAATTTTAGTAGAGTGCCCAACGAAGATGCAGTGAAGTTGGAACTCATATATGCGTTGGAGGTTTTTGTGATAGGTAGACCTAGAAAGAGGGTTCTTAGGTTTGAAATTTTTTATGGTGTAGATAATAGAGTGCTTTTAACTCCTACCCGTGGGATAGAATTGTTTGGGATGAAACCTAGAAAGTCTTGGAAAGGCTACTAGAGGACGTTCCAAGGGATTTTTGGAGTGTAAAGCCGCGAATGTTAAACATGACATAGAGAAATATGATTTAAGTGGATGCACATACGCCTTTCAGATATGGAAATTAGAAATTATATGTGATATGGAAATATGCAATGAGATAATAAATGAAAAACAATTTTTAATGTAGTTCAGATACTCAAAAGCAAATCTTACATCCACAGTGGTTGTATTATTCTTTGACTATTTTTATGATATTGTTTGTAAGACATATAAAGAGTGGAGAAAAGCTTTGCTTACAGAGAAAAAATAATGAAATGAAGCTCAAATCTATGCCCAGCTCTTATCTGCCTAGCCCCCATTTTTCATGAAGAGATGTGCCCATTTATACACCTTTGATGTCAATGTAATGAGTGTTTTGCAAGTTGCCTTGACACATTAAGAGCTGTCATCCGTCCATCTCTTAAAATGAGATAGGGTTGGTATAAATATCTTTGAGGCGGTATGGGCTTGATAGCTAGTACATTTTGTCTTTTAGGTAGAGCTGACATCAGTGTGATTTTTTAGGCATAACAGAATACCCCTCCCCCCCCTTCCCAAGTTTTTGGAGTGCGTAATTGTACTTCAAAAACTCATGTCTTATATCTGAATGAATGTCGTACTATAAGTCGCAGTCTCGAACTGAAGAGCTCGAACTATATCTGGCGCGATCGGGTGCTGAGAGCTAGGACTGCGATTTGAGAGCTTGGAGCGATCCGAATCTGAGCGGGATCTGATAACTGACATAAAATATCCAATAGATGAATTTCTGGAGGGAGCTAACATCAGAAGTCCAAACGCATGACTTAGAGTCCTTAAACGGATAAGCCAACTTAAAACAGTCATAACTTTTGATCCGGGAGGAGTTTTGGAGCCCATAAGATATCCACGAAAAGCTCGTTCCGAGCTCTACACCATGGTAACTAGGAAACATAGTTGGGGCTATTTTTAGGGCCAAAATCCACCGTTTTAGCATGTTTTAGGGCTGTTTTGAGTTTTCTACGCATTTTTTCTAACGCTGGCAGCTGGCCGCAATCTGAGAATTGAGAACTAATCGCGATCTGAGAATTCAGAACACGACTTGAGGTTATTCGCAATCTTAGAATTGAGAGCCGATCGCGATTTGAGAGCTAGGAGCTCTATTAGAGAGCTAGGAGCTCGATTAGAGAGCATAAGGAGCTTCGATCATAAACCATAAAGAGCTTGATCTAAGATCATAAGGAGCTTGATTAGAGAGCATAAAGAGCTTAATCTGAGATCATAAGGAGCTCGATCAGAGAGCATAAAGAGCTCGATATGAAAACTCGAGATTAGCAATTAAGCGATTGGAAGCACAATCTAAATGACCTAAACGCGTGATCTCGACGATCTTGAACACGCGATCTGAGCGTGTGATTTACGATCTGGCCACACGATCGGAAGCTAAAGATCAGTAATCTGAAGCTGAAGATCAATGATCTGAGCGTGCGATCTGGCCATGCAATCTGAAGCTCAAGATCAGTAATCTGAAGCTGAAGATCAGCGATATGAGCTTGCAATCTGTGATCTGGCCACGCGATCTAAAGCTAAAGATCAATAATCTAAAGTTGAAGATCAAGACGATCTGAGCGTACGATCAGCGATCTGGCCACGCGATTGGAGAGCTAAAGATTAGCGATCTAAGCGTGCGATCTACAATTTGGCCACGCAATCTAAAGCTAGAGATCAGCAATCTGAAGCTGAAGATCAAAATAATATGAATGTGCGATTAGCGATCCCAAGTGATCGGAGAGCTAAAGATTAGCGATCTAAAGCTAAAGATCAACGATATAAGTGTGCGATCAGCGATCTGAAGCTGCGATTAGCGATCTGACCATGCCATCTGAGAGCTTTGATGCATGCGATCTGCGATCTGACCATGCGATCCGAGAACTCTGATGCGTACGATCTGTGATCTGACCACCTAATCCGAGAACTCTGATGCATGCGATCTGCAATCTGATCATGCCATCTAAGAACTCTAATACGTGCGATCTGCGATCTGACCACGTGTAATATCCAAGATGTCAAAGGCATGTTCCTAACTCAAAATAGTCCTTTAGGTGTTAATTTTATGTTAAAAAGCATAAAATCTAACTAAGGGCAAAATAGTCAATTCATTTGTAACGATATGCATCAATTATCCATAAAAGGATATTAGAGGCAAAATAGTCATTTTGCCTATGGATAAGCATTGCAAAGGTCAAGGATGAGTAGGCTTCATTGCATTTAATGACATTAATTAAGTAATAATTCTGTTAGTGCCAAATGACCAAAATGCCCTTATATGAAGAATTAAGGACTTATGAGTTATACAATTAAAATAATTGGGCCAATAACATAATTTTGAAAAATTAATGAAATATTTTCCTATAAATGAGAGGAAATTCATTCAACCCAAAAGAGATATCATTTCTTCAATCTTTCTTCCATTTTCTCTCAAATCTTCCATGAAACAAGTTTTCTCTCTCTAAGTTTTAAAAGAGCTTTGCATAATTTTCCAAGGAGAATAAAATAGGAACCTTGGATCTTCAAATTGAAGGGTTTAAGGTAAGGATTAAAACCTCTAGTTTTGATGTGATTTGAAGATTTGAGGTAGATGTTGAGGTATAATGTTATATATGTAGAATTAAGGTGTAAAAGAAGATAAAGGCAAAGGATTTGGTAGGGGAATTCTTTAAAAAGGTAAGGAAGAACCTCCCATAACTTTAGGGATTATGCTAGGGTTTGTAGATTTTAATGAAACCTTAAATTAAGGCTTTAAGGCATAGAATTAGTTGATGGCAAGTATAGTTGAACTCATTAATGTTATTTATTGCCTTGAATTCATTATACATGAAGTTATTGCCATTTATGTTTTATGAGTTATTATGTTTATTTAAAGAAAATGAAGTATTAATGTTGATTGTATCAAAACTTGTAGTATTGGAGGTCACATGGTGTTGAATGGTTGCTATTAGAAATGTTGATGTGTTGTTTGCATTAACTTACAATGTTATAACAATGATGGATTGTAATGCTTTCTCTCTCTAGCTAGTATACTCGTAAAATAAACAATAAAACTCATATAAATAGGAAAATCTATACATGTAAATGCATATACAAAAGTTGGGCCCATTTCTTTTATTATACACAAAACTATACGTTAAGAAATAAAAGTGCTCAAAATAAACTTGACAGTGGTTGCCAAACCCTTCCGCTCATGACATTCCCTCCGACCATATCCTATCTCCTACTTGCAAAAACATTAAAAAAACAACGAGTTGAGCACTAATTGCTCAGTAAGTAAACCCGCTAAGCTACTCCTCTCTCTCCGTTGTTCAAATTCTAAATTTCTTTCCTTACAAACATCTTTCTCTTCTTCTCTGTTCTTTTCTATTCTTTCTCTCTGTTCTTTCTCTTTGTTCTTTCTGTGTTCTAGTTTTTCTCACTTACTGACATGTAAGCAC